TTTGGTTAATATTAAAGATAAAAGGAAAAACTTTTCTATAAAATTTTAACATATACGTTTATTTATACTTATAAATCAGACGTGTGCTCTTCCGATCTATTTTTTGAACTATTTTTCGTATTCGTCAATCTCGTCAAGATCTCGTCGAGATTCGAGATCAAGATCAAGATCATATATTCGAGATTCTTGAAAATCCGAGATCAATATAAATATTTCAAGATTTTTCGAGATTGAGATCGAGATCGCAGAAATCTCGTCTTGTCTCGTCTCGTGCGCATCTCTACCTTTTAGACACAAAATCTTCTGTTAATGCAAACTTTGGAATCAGTTAACTAATTGCGTCTTTAATCACATACATGTTTAACTGCTGATAAATTTATTTGATAAAAAGTTCTCGAATCGTTCACAATTCAAAAAAGCTATATTCTGCCTTAGGAAACAATCCGATTCGTTCAGATTCAATTGAATGAATTTAAAAGTTTTACCTATGTGTTAATAAATTTATTATAGCGTTTCAAGAAACTTTCAAAAGCGTACAAGCAATAAATTATAGAAGTGCACGTTTACGCCAATGTTTGCACGTAAACGGATGGAGCGTTCTTGTTTTCCCAGCTCGGGGACGAAGTTACGGCGCGTCATCGTCGATGCGCTCTCGGGGTTGCGGACGCGCGCGCCGAAGGGAGGCCGGGGCTCGCAACGGGAAGCCCCCGAAGGGGAGAGACTGACCCGCCGCCGCGTGTCGGCGTCGTGGCGTCAGTATGCGGTCGCGCATTCCACGCGGGAACACCTGTTTGCTCCGTCGACTGCGGCGGCTGCATCGGTTCGCGTGCTACACGGTCGCGCATAGTTCGCGGGGGAAAGAAAGGGAGCGATAAAGAGAGGGCGAGAAAGAGAGAGAAAGGGTGATACGTAAAGAGGGGTCCAATATTTTTGCTCTCGAAGGGAGAGAGAAAGAGAGAGAGAGAGGAAAAGAGAGAGAAAGCACTTAATACACAATCACCGCCAAGTAAATAATATACGAAGCATTTATTTTGAAAAGGGCAAAGACGAAAATGGTCTTCCTCTTCAGATAAATTAACATTTGTGCATACATACATAGCTACATTCGTAAATGGTTGAATAATTTATTTCAGTGACTCAGGAAGATCGGAATTAATAAAGCGTAGAATAAAATTGATTATAATTGTGATTACGTTGATATCATGTTTCCTGTATTTCATTGACAATGAGAAACATAAGCAGTTTGTAATTGTCCTTTCTAAAACGATTAATTCGCAAATATGTTTTGTTTCTTTTTGCAAATGCATACATACCGGAGGAAGCTTCATATTTGTATTTATAATAATCCTAATTAATTCTGATTAATTTGCCTAACAAATTTTCGTGTTGACTGGAATAGAGTTAATTAGTTCTATTGTCCGAGATAATTTATGATCGGATCTGGGGGATTGGTAATATTATAATATTACATTGTACATTGATTATTATATCAGATTGATAACTGGCAAATTACATTTTCAAAATCTCTACAAAATTCTCGACGTAACATATAATAAATATATAATATAATATGATAAAAATTAAATAAAGCTTAATATTATTAAAAATGTGAATATAATAAGTGTTGATTGTCGATATTCTATCTTCCCGTATAGAATTAAGAAATATGTACATTCAAACATGTTTTATCATTAAATAATTAGATATGTAAAAATAAAGGAGAAAAAAAATATATATAATTATATATATAATTGTTATATATAATTATATATACAATTTATATATCTATGCAAGTTCTTCTACTGAGAAATTAAGTTTTCTGGCTTAAGTGCTTTCTCTCTGGGGCCAGAGATATAGATTAGGAAAAGGAGGAGAGGTACAGGGAGAAGGGGGCGACAAAGAGAAAGAGAAACAGAGAAAGGACGAAGTCCGCGAGGCTTCCACCACGTGTCCCTCATTCTTCTCGATTGTACACGCGTAAGAAACAATTTTTTCTTAATTAAGGATGCACGCACGATCCTTCCGACGTGCCTTCCTATCACGGAGGCTGCCGAGCGACTCCGTCTGGCTGTCCTCTTTGCACGATACGCTCCGACCCACCGGTGGTTGCCGCGCGAGAGTTTAAGATCGATTTAACCCTTGAACTATTAGACGATTTCTTCTCAAAGCCCGCACTTGCTTCAATTGTTTATATCGCTGGTTCGACGCGGCAGTTACTTTCCACAGTCATTTAAATGGCACTCACATTGCGTTGCAAAAGAGAGAAAGAAACGAAGATTATTATAAATCTTGGAGACTTGACACAGAAAAATTGCAAGACGCAGAAATAATAAATAGAATGAAATGATGAGGTATTAGGGTCAAGAATAAAAATCCACGAAGAACCTAGTGGTTTAAGTATTAATTCAAATATTTAATAAAATAACGAGAAGAAGTTATACACGTTCTGTACACCTCGTAAAAGTTCAGTAAAACAAATGTAAGCTTTACTTTAGTAGCTGTTGGTCTGGTTGGCTTTAGCTAAGATAATATCATGTGTCAAATCTCTCTAATTTTATAATCTCAAGGGCAGTTTATCCTAATGTATGCAAAACGCGTTCGGTACCTGGAAATTTGACGCGTTACACCAGTGGGTCGATCGGCGCTAAATCCTTCTAATCCCGGATGAATAATTTCGGTATGATATAAACGTGACCAATTTATTTTGTAACCTCTTTATATGTAATATCGGTAGCATTAATGGTGCTCCATCAATGCATCAATGTTTAATATTATTGACAATTTAATATGCATGTTTCATATGAATACGATGAATTCTCTATCTAATATTATTATTCACGATATATTGTTATTATATTTTTTTTAATACAATGGGAGAGAGAGAGAGAGAGAGAGAGAGAGAGAGAGAGAGAGAGAGAGAGAGAGAGAGAGAGAGAGAGAAAGAGTATGTGCGTGTGCATTTTCAGAAAATAAAATACCTTATATAATATAACAGAATAATATAAAATAAGGAACTACACTGTAATATAATAATGACGCAGTATAATCACTATATATATAATTCCACGAAATTTATACATAGAATTGAATAGTATTTAAGAGAAAGAGAGAGAGAGAGAGAGAGAGAGAGAGAGAGAGAGAGAGAGAGAGAGAGAGAGAGAGATATTATATGTATCTGTTCGAAAAATCTCCGATGAATTTTTCACGTCATTGTTTTCGCGATATTTATAATATGGACAGCAGTGAATTCGTTGCATTTTACGAGTTATTATCAAATAATACCGTTATAATTTATATTGCGAACGGGATCACTTGCTGCGCAGTTCTATAAATTCGATTCAGGTTCGGGAATTGTCATGAAAAATCGGAGCGCCTCGGAGAGTCGGAGTTATGAAAAGTCATGACTTTGTTTCGGAGAGCTCAGCTATCGGCATGCGATCGCGATCGCGAGCGTGATCGCGGAAAAATCCGCGATCGTGAAACGCTCCGATTTTATTCGCTCTGACGAGCGTAACGTGTGCTATTAAGAGCGTTGTTATGAGCTTCTCGCTTCGTCGGGACGAGACGCGGAGACCTTTCAGAGAGGCTAGCGCGTCAACGTCGCCTA